CCCACTGACATTGACAAGTCCCTGCCACACCCCACTGACATCGACGCGTCCTGCCACCCCAATGACCCACGCGTCCCTGCCCAACCCCACTGACATTGACAAGTCCCTGCCCACCCCACCCACTGGCAGCGACGCGTCCCTGCCCACACCCCCTGACATTGACAAGTCCCTGCCCAAACCCCACTGACATTACAAGTCCCTGCCCACACCCCACTGGCAGCGACGCGTCCCTGCCCACACCCCACTGACATTGACGCGTCCCTGCCCACAACCCACTGACATTGACAAGTCCCTGCCCACACCCCACTGGCATCGAGAGTCCCTGCCCACACCCCACTGACAGCGACGCGTCCCTGCCCACACCCCACTGACATCGACGTCCTGCCCACAACCCACTGACAGCGACGCGTCCCTGCCCACACCCAAATGACAGCGACACGTCCTTGCCCACACCCACTGACGACGCGTCCTGTCCACACCCCAATGACATCGACGCGTCCCTGCCCACACCCCACTGACAGCGACGCGCCCCCGCCTACATCCACTGACAGCGACGCATCCCCGCCCACACCGACTGCCTGTACCGCCCGCCCCGCTGCAGCGGCGGCCACTGACCGTGATGCGTCCCTGGCTGAGCGCCTCGCTGCGCTTGAGGCGTACGTCCACCTGGCGCTTCACGTCACGCTGCAGGCGGCGGCTGAAGTCGCGGAACATGGTGCTGCCGCCCGAGAGCACGATGTTCTTGTACAGCGGCCGGCGCACGTCAATCGGGCAGCTCTGGATCACGTTGTCCACGATCTCCGAGATCGGCGTGGTGAAGTCCGGGTTGGCGAACTGGCCGGCCGAGGCGAGACGGGCGCGTGAGGTCGGACCGCGGCGCCGGAGCCACGCATGGAGCGCGCGCCGGACAGGGCACAGAGCACGCGCTGGACAGGGCACAGAGCACGCGCCGGACAGGGCACGGAGCACGCGCCGGACAGGGCACAGAGCACGCGCCGGACAGGGCACGGAGCACGCGCTGGACGGGGCACGGAGCGCGCGCTGAACAGGGCACAGAGCACGCGCTGGACAGGGCACAGAGCATGCGCTGAACAGGCACAGAGCACGCGCTGGACAGAGCACGGAGCACGCGCTGAACAGGGCACAGAGCACGCGCTGAACAGGGCAGGTGACGCACGGCCGGCACGACAGGGCGCCGAGCTGGCCAGTCGGGCCTCGCGTATCGCGTGGGGCTGGGAGGCATTCATGTAATCCGGACATGCAAGTTCATCCAACCAGCAATAATACGAAATGCGTCCAAAGCGAACTCCACTCCACAACCAAACACGGGAGTGACTGCGCCACAGATGCGCCACACCACACCTCGGCACCGGTGTCCGTCCGGCTGGCTGGACTGCCGCGGGTTCCGACAGTGACGGCGCTCCCCTCCCCTCCCCCGCCGCCCGTGGCACAGCCTACCTCCGGGTGGAAGAAGATCTCGGGCCCCAGGAAGCGCTCGTAGCCGACGTCCACCTCGAACGGCTGCTTGGTCACCGAGTTGACGCCCTGGTACTGCCGGATCCACTTGGACGGGTCAGAGTCGTACTTGGCGAACTCTTTTGCGATGTCTGGACATATGTAGGAGTACCTGAAACAGGTTTGGAGGCTCACGCGCTGCTCACAGAACGGGCTTGACGATGGGGCACTCACTGGATGACCCACAGGAGCACTACTCCGAACATGGTAAAACATTTAAAACGAGCAACATTCTTTACTCACGGCACATTTCTGCTTGGAACGACAGATCACGAGAAAACAACAGCAGTCACGGACAGCCGCAGCCACGGCACGACAACTGTACTGACTGTTTCGGGTCGAAAATTACCGCAACGACACGCGTTCAGTACACGAGCAGCGTTTTGGGCGAACAATGACCTCACAAGTCGACGCGCCCTAACACTCCAATCATCAACACGAGCAGCGTATCGTGCGGCCACATCAGCACCCCGCCACGGCCGAGCGCACGCTGCCAGTCCAGCCGTAGCCGCAGTGGTAGGTCTTCGATAGCAGCCAGCACCAGACTGAGCCAGGACCACCGAATACAAGCTCAGGTGAGCTCGCCGCTGGACCAATCGAAACGATCGCCGCGATGGTGGCCGTTTTAGACGGCCGCTCCGTCGGCTACTTCTTTCCCACGGATTCGCAGTAATTAGCCTCTAAAAACTTCTTGGAACCATACATATGACGGAGAATTGTCTTCAAACACGATTTCCTGCCGCAAAGTTGTTTGGTTCGTTGCCCATGTCAACACGTGATTTCGAATCGATGAGACAACTGCCATCGACGGCGTTTCACAACGATGAACCCAGCACCGAGCAAGAACATCGTACATCTAGTTGGTGCACCAGGCCATCCCACTGCAGCATGCCGGCACTCGTGTGTGCTGGGACAGCTGGTCACGCTCCACTGCCGGGCCCTGTGTGCACGTGCGGCCGGCAGACGGCGGCCGGCCGCGGCGGTAGGACCGGGGCGGGCGCGCCCCGGTCCTGCCGCCGCGCCGTATCGGGGCCCTTCCTGCCTGCCCGGCCACACCACACCATCCGGCCCGCCCGCTCCGGGTGCTCAGGGAGGGCAGACCCTCACACCACACCGCTCCCGGTATCGGGCGGCACTGAACAGAGACGACCCGGCCGGCCGGCCACCGGTCCGGGTACGTCATGCAGCACGGCACCGCTGGCGGCGCTACAAAAGCAAGACCCTGACGGGTACAAAGAAGCTCTGGCTAATGATGCCCAGCTGAAGCCAATCTTCCAGTTACATACAATGAAGACGTACTCGGACAAATACAACAAATTCTGTACAAGTATAACTGAATGGCCAGCATGCAAATACATAGCTGTCTGAAGAAGCAGCCAGTATACCTGCAAACACTACAATGATCATATGCGACCACCTAAAAGGCAAGTTACCAATCAATATGCAGTGCTCAAAACACCAATTACTACAGCCAGAGTAGAACATGTCAATCAAGCATTACGTCACATGTTGTGGGCAGGACTGCCGCGTCCGTGTCGTTGCACAGGCACACCAAGGATTGAGAAACCCAAAGAAACTGAGCCTTGGCTGACCAACTAATCAGATCGCTAATACAACCACACAAACTATACAACAATGAATGGTACTGCACTAGTGAGTCATAACACCCTGTCCTTAATCTGTCGATAAGCTAGCCACTGCAGCCACAGTTGGCACTACGTTCAGAGCCCGCCAGTTTGTTATGACACCCTGGTATTCATATGTCTTTCAGGGCACCGACAACTGTCACTACAATGGGCGCAAGTCGCATTTGGCATAATTACACTGCATCACCTTGAATCATGCACGGTTAAAACGGCATGTGAGTAGCATTGATGACTCAGAAAGCACACGAGTTCAAAAGGCCCGCCCCGCACCACCCAAAACAGAAGCGCCGTCGCCCGCTACGCGAGCCCGTCGCGCCCGGCCGCGGCGCCGCTGCGTCGCTTCACCTCTCCTTGATGGCCTTGGCCGTCTCGAGCGACTGCTCGGGCGGCACGCCCACCTCACGCTCGCGCAGCAGCGACTGGATGAAGTAGGTGATGTTGCGGCCAGCGATCGGGATATGCTTGATGCAGCTGCCGATCACGTACCCCTCGCCTGCGGCCCGGTCAAGGTTCGGGTCAAGGTCGGGTCGAGTGGGCCACCGAGCCCCACCAAGCCACCCGAGCCAGCCACACCACCCACCAGTCGCCAACACCCCAATCCGGCGGCACAGGGCCACCGATAACTACAACAGCTCCCCTGAATACTCGTACCCCTATCACATGTACAGGTCCACACAGCGGAGAGCACCAGTCACTGCCCGGAAGGCAACGCCGGACCACACCTATAGCTGATAGGCTATAATAGGCGATAGTATGCCCATCGCGTCAGTGGCAGTGGTCGATCCGCGCCAACCGACTCACCACGGGGATGACGTGGGTGACGCCGTCGCCGCTGTCGATGACGGTGCCTGTCAGGGTGCGGTCGCCCACCTGCCGGCTCGTCCAGGAGGACGGCCAGCGCCAGCACCTGCCTGCACCCGCGATGTACAGGCCCGGCACGTTGAACGATTCGAACATGATCTCTGCCGGCGGCGGGCGGCAGTCAGCGCGTGCGGACGGTCACGGCACGTGGCGGACGGTCATGGCACGCGGCAGACCGTCAGCACACCGTGCACGCCGGAGGGCAGCGTGATTTCAAGACACATTGCCACTCTCAGGTCGGGTTGGGTTGGGTTTTGATCACGACAGATACAGTGCATTGCACGCATGATATTTCACGGCAGTAAGTTGACACCACGTGAATAATACACGGGTGTTTGCTCTTATTTTTGTGTGCGTGCATATTGATGCCATAGAATGTTTGCTGATCAAAAATGAGTGGGATCAGCCGGGCAAAACAGCTTTCTAATTTTACCTGATTGTTAGACCAATCGGTGCAATTTTACCTAACTGTTGGACCAATCAGAAATCTTTGTTGGTTGGGGATGCGCATCTGCCGTGTGCTCGCGGTTCTCGGGCGGGTTGGGGGGATACACACCTGCCATGTATTTGCGGTTCTCGGGCGGGCCGAGGAGGCGCACCTGCCGCGTACTCGCGGTTCTTGGGCAGGTCGGGGAGGCGCACCTGCCGTGTACTCGCGGTTCTCGGGCGGGTTGGAGATGCACACCTACCGTGCACTCGCAGTTCTCGGGCGGGCCGAGGAGACGCACCTACCGTGTACTCGCGGCTCCAGGGTGGGTTGTGGGAGGCGCACCTGCCGTGTTCTCGCGGTTTTCGGGCGGGATGGGGATGGGCACCTGCCATGCACTCGTGGTTCTCGGGCGGGGCCGAAGAGGCGTACCTGCCGTGTACTCACGGTTCTCGGGCGGGTTGGGGGGGGGGGGGCGCACCTGCCGTGTACTCGCGGTTCTCGGGCGGGTTGAGCGGCGGCTCCGTCAGCAGGAAGTAATGGTCTTCCGGCTCGGCACGCAGGTACTTGAAGATGGACTGCTCCCAGAAGCGCTCCATCAGGTCCCAATCCTCGATGATGCCGTGGCGGACCGGGTACTGCCAGACGGACCCGCGCACAGGTCAATATCGGTGGGCAGGGTACACAGTCGCGGCGTATGCCAGAACAGCGGGGGCAGCGGGGGCAGCCACCAGCACGAACAGCCACTCAACTGACAAACAGAAAAGGTCCACAGATGCCTGCAAAAGCCACGTGTTGCGTTTACGATCACGAAACGCGAAATTGTTTCGCCTTTATAGGGAACACTTGGTGAAATAGCGCGAGCGCGACCGACCGGCCGTTCAGACGCGGCATCTGCGGCGGACGCCGAGATGGACGGACGGGTCCCATCTGGCCGAAACCGACCCCGGCGCACCCGGCGGCCCGGCGGCCCGGCGGCCCATCGCGTCCGGACCGCCGCCGCCGCCGCCGCTGACCCGCGTGGCGGCGCACCTTGACGGCGTAGCCGGTGGCGTCGAACGCCTCGTCGCCGATGAAGAAGTCGAGGTCCTCGACACCCTTGCCGAGCCGGCGCGCCGCCTGGTCGCCGATGCGCGCCGACTCGCGAATGGCGATCGCCGACGGCATGATGAACTGCGGCTCCTTGTTGCCGGCGAAGCCCAGCTTTGTGTACCTGCCGCAGACGACCGAAGCACGAGCCGTCATCGGCCTGACAGACGGACTGCACAGGGCCGGCACGGTGAACAGTTTCGTCGTCGTTCGTCCTCAATCTGGGAATGGCTGTTTATGTGCAGAAAAATGCTCCACACATGTCTCTGTTGGCACTGGAGTGGTACTCAGGGTGTATAAAAATATTAACAAACTTTTGTGACTGTTAGAGGTCACATTGTATGTGGCCTGTGAAAGCATTCAATGTTTCAAAATATGATGCATATCATGACTTTGAGGGCAGAGTCTTCTGAACATGGTGTATTGGAGGTCATTTACCCACAGTAACCAACTTTGGATGCACCCAAGGAATGAATCATAAGCAATCCTCATTATTATCATATTGCTTCACTGCCATTTAAATATGTTCTTACATAGAACTATAGAACAGCTGTCTGTGTCTGGTGCACACAGAGTGATCCCTGAACTGGATTGAAGAATGTGAATGAAGTCATATGCTCCAGGGAAATTCAGATGATCCCTAGAGAAAGCTTGATACACATGCTATTTTCACTCCTCCAGCACCAACTGCTGCTAGCTGACGGCTTTAACTAATGCCAGAGTAATCACTGCATGTTCTACTAGCCTCAACATCTATACAATATTGTGGCTCCCCTATGCTTCATGTAGAATTAAAGAAGTACAAATGCATGCCAATGTGATCAGTGTTCTCTTTACAAGAGGATTTCCAATCATTTGTAGCTGATATTTGGTTCTTCACGAGACAATTCTTGAACAATTTTGCTTACATAAAATAATGAAAACTATTTGGTAATGGGCTTTGCAATGCAATGTTGAAGCACAATTTTACCCCACAATGAATAACACATTATAAAAAAGAATCATTGATGTATCAAAGTGCCTTAGTCAATATGCTATCCTTAATACTATTTCAAATTCTGGATTTTCTTGTAGGCTTATTGATCATTTTACCTATATAGGATCATTTCCAACTTGAAAGCCTCCAAGCTTTCAGTGCTTGTTGCAGACAAGTGTGTGTTGGCAGGCTGAGTGACTCCTGCTGCATGCAGCCAGGTGGCTTCAGCAAGTCAAACTACTTGTAATAACTATATGCCAAGTGGACTTAAAACTATTGCCAATGTTGTGGATCTGACTGGAACTAACATTGACATGATTATACTATTCAACACAAGATAGGCTTCATGAAACATGTTAGATGATCTCCCTGCAAATTAGCTCATAGCTACAAACACTGAAATGACCCTTGCTGATTGAAGCATCATCAAGAATGCCTGATCATATTCATGCTAACTAGAGCTGGTAATATGAACCCTGCCCCACTTTCTGATGATAAAAGCAGAATTTTGTGGAAAAATTTTAACATGCCACAGCACTGACAAGGCCTATCCTGCACCTGAAACATATCTCATATCACCAGCCACAAGTTGGAGGCAAACATTTCAGTGTAGTGCACACTGTTAATGAAGCATCAGAATGTAGTGCACAGTCACCACCCATTTCAACACAGAGAGTCAATGTTTCATAGAAGCATGACATAGCAAACATAATTTCAGACAAAGATACTCCTACCAAAAATTGCTTGCAAAAATGATTCAAACTTAAGCACTGTCTAAGCCTGGTCCTGAATTGTTGCAAGGAAGCAAAGGGTTTAGTGCACAGGCTTCTAGCACAGTGGATGTATTTTTTGGACTGGTGTGCTGGCAGAGAGGTGGACAGGACTCTGAACTGAGTAATCCATGGGGGCAGAGAGCCTAATAATGGATATCCTTAACAAAAGTGATAGCTGGTACTTATCTAAGTGCTATCAGGGAGACCAATGACACTGACATATAACATACTTCTGTTGCTTCCCAGCCTTGGACAAGTGTAGAGCATACAGCAAATTAAGCAATAATGTTCCTCATAGCACCACATTAAAGAATAAAAAGAATATAGAGCAAATGGCACAATCTGAAAAACTACCATGAATCCAGTGGTGTTGTTTATTAGCCCCAGATCTTAGTTTGTCCCTCTCCATATTCTTGATGAAACATAACATGCAATGAGAAAAAGTAAGCATTGCACAGTGCTTGTCATTTCATTTTTGGTACTGCTTGCCTCCCATAATAAGACGCTGAAATAGAAACCTACAAGACAAGTGATACAGCCAAAATGATGTGGGTAAAATCCTCTGAAACACATTTCAGGGTGGTCAAGTTCTCAAGCTCTTTGCTCACTCTCCCCTGCCCCAATAACTTGCAGTATTCGACGCCCCCGCCAACGATAGTAAGCTGAAATGACACAAGAAAATAAAGGGCCAGGTAGTTAATTTGCGATAGTTGGCTCTCCTCACCCGGTTCCATTGTCGATCACGCAAGCTGGGAGACGACCAGTCATGATTGCAGCGGGACAGGTTTCTAAAAGACGTTACAAAACTTAACAACAAGGACTGCCCAAGTTGCAAGAGACCCTAGTTCCAGCAGATGAAAACGTATGCATAAATACTCGCTAAACGCCCTCTCACGCACAACCGCACAGGTTCACACCGGACGGGTGCGGCCAGGCGAGGAGTGCCGGATGCCCACAAACAAATCCAACGTCAAAAGTGGCGCACCGGTGATTCATTTATGTATCAGGCCTAAAAACTCATGCAGCTAAATATATTGTGTATTTTGAAACACCCGATGTGGCTTGCTAGCTCGTTCAGGAATTATGGCTGAAACCGGAAATACGTCGACCTTGAGGAGGCCAGAAACAGAACTTCCTTGATCCTCCACGTTCTTTCGAATCTGCCAGATCGTAAATCCCGATGACTCAGTTAGTTAGAGCGCCTGCCATCCGATTAGTGACAGATAGAGGAGAGGCCGCGGTGGGGGGGGGGGGGGGAGGGGGAGGACGGGGGCAAAGAAACATGCCCACTCCTTCGACCCGGATGTAGTCCACAGTAGGCTCAAAAGGGGCCCCATAGCCAGGCAAACAACGTAGTTCCTTCACACAAAAGGTAACAAAATTTGGCGTCTTCAGCCATAAGCATGCAGGCAACCACAAGCAATCGAAAACGGCAGTGAAGGGCCCGCGAGCAAATATATTTATTCGCTGATTAAAGGGAGTATTCCACATTTGTAGCGAGTTTTGAGCTGAAATAGCCATTTTGCAAACCACTCGGTATAGCTCATAATCTTGGAGAAGATGGCTGGCGAACTAGGCAAATCGACACGTATGTCGTGCCAATGCTACACCTGGTTTTCGGTACTTCATTTTTGAATGGAGAGCCCACCGCTCTTTTCGGGGGCCCTGTCTGTCAACCTGCTCTGGGGCACTCGATTATTCCGGGCCCTCTACATCGTGTCGTGGGTATTTCATATTTGAACGGAAGCCCTACGCTGTTGCCGGGACCCCATCTGTTAACCTGTTCGGGCACACTCGAATATCCGGGGGCCCTTGCGCATTGTGTCTTGGGTACTTCCTATCTGAATGAAGGACCCTGCGCACTTGTCCGAGACCCCATCTGTTCGCCACTTCAGTCCACACTAGACTGTTCGTGGCCTATTTATTGGGTCTTGGTGTTTGAATTTAGGGCCTTACACTTCTGTTTGGAGCATCTGATAATCTGCTTTGGTATACTTCATCCTTCGGGGTCCCTCCGCACTGGGTTTTGGCTACTTCTTATTTTAATGGATGACCCTACGCTCTTGTCAGGGCCCCTTCTGATAAGCTGTTCGGGCACATTCGATCATTCTGGGGCTATCTACATGGGGTCTTCGGTGCTTCCCATTCGAATGGAGGGCCCGTACGCTCCTGTTTGGAGTCCTATTTGTTAGCCTGCTCGGGCATACTCGATCATTCGGGGGCCCTCTACATTCAGTCTTAGGTACTTCCTATTTGCATGGACGGCCCTACGCTCTTGACGGGGGTCCTATAATGTTAACCTGCTCTGACGCACTGGATAATTCGGGGGTCCTCTGCATTGGGTCTTAAATACTTCCGATTTGGATGGAAGGCCCTACGCTTTTTTGGGAACCTTATCTGTTAACCTGCTCGGGCACACTCGATCATCCGGGGGCCTTCTACAATGGGTCTTGGGCACTTCCTATTGGAAAGGAGGGCCTACACTCTTGACGGGTACCCTATATGTTAACCTGTTTGGACGCACTTGATCGTTCAGAGCCCTACACATTGCGTCGTGAGTATTTTTTAGTTGAATGGATGACCTTATGTTCTTGGCGGGCCCCCTCTGTTCAGCTGCTCGGGCCGGTGCGAATGCAGAGGGGGGGAGGGGGGAGGAGGGATGAGAACATCCCCATGGACCATGCCGAGGGTACCTAAAGGCTGCGAAGGGGCCCATAACCGGCCAGACGGACGTAGTTTTCTGACAAAAACACAAACAATTGGATGCCTTTGGGCCTACAGACGATCAAGAAGCATTGCTAGCAAAAGTAGAGGGTTCATGAAGTAAGCGAAGTCCATTCTTCGCTAATTGAGAAAATGCTGCTTGGGGGGAAATTTCGGGGCTCATTACGCTGTCTAGAGGCATTACATTGTTGGTTGTCTGGCCCTATATGTCCACCTGCCGGGTCAATCTGATCGCTAAGGAGCTTTCCAAGTTTCCCTTCATCTCTGCATTTTCTCGTAGGGCTCAATGTGCTGTTGGGACGCTATTTGTTTCCATGCCTGAGCTCTGTTAATTGATCAGATTTTCCTCCACGGACTTCTTCCCATTCCCCCAAAAGGCCCTGTACACTTTTCCCGGCTCCCATATCCCAGGGTACACTCAGTTGCTCAGTGGCCCTTCATATAAGTCTATGGTTTTTTCCACTTGCTTGGAGGGCTTTGTGCTGTTGGTGGGGCTCTTGTAAGGTAAGGCACGAAGACACTCGGTGCTCAGGGGCCCCCTTCTTTGGTCAAGGGCTCTCTACCTTTGGTCTCATTCGCGGAGGTCTCTTCATTCCTATAGAGGCTCGTGCCGTTAACCTGCCCGTGCACTCTTGATCGCGCAAGAGTATTAATTCATGGTCTTGGATAATTCCCCCTTGCTCGGAGGACCCCGTGTTATAGCCGGGACCTTATATGTGAACCTGCCGAGGCACTACCGGTCGTTTCGGGGCCCACAACATTGGTCTCCACTCACCAACGGAGCAATTCGTGTTCATGATCTTAAATACGTGACAAAATTGAGCGAGAGGGATTGATACCATCCCAACAGAGCTATTAGCAAGAAATAAAAAAAGAAAGAGAATGACACAGCAACTCCGCCACCGCGAAATTCAACAAGCTTCTTGATGTCGCGAAATGCAAGTGCAAGCCTCAGCGCAGCTTTCCATGCCCAGCTGCCTGCACAGTGTATCAGGAGGAGGTTGCCACGAAGGACCAGTGCAGGCACCGGAAGCTTACCATGGGGTCATTTGACCGGGATACGATTGCAACTAGGGAGGCTCGCGAGATGTGGAGGATGGCCAGACAACTTCAGGGGCGTCGTGGCTCGGCCGCCAGTGAGGCGGCGTCTGCTGTTGAACCTGAGTCGCCTTCCCCGCCGCCTGCTGAGCCCACGCCGCATGCTGAGCCCGCGCCGCCTGCTGAGCCGGCGCTGGCTGCTAGTGCTGACCCTGAGCCTGCTCCGGGACCAAGTGGTTCTCCGCGCTGGCGAGCCAGCCGAGAGCACGGATTCCTACACGGCTCCGTACATGGTAGAAGGTGGCGGCTGACGCTGATTGTTCGTTCCGGTTGAGACCAGCTGTCATTGTAGACTATAACGTTAACGATCTGACTAACACCGCCCTGGCGGTTGACAGCTACAGTGGCTCGAACCAGGGTCGGTGCTGCTATCATCAATGCCTTTCAACAAGACAGCAGAGAGGTCTGGCTACTAGAAATCACAAATCGTAGATCCTAAGGAGACCTACTGCGCAAGAGACAGCGAGAATGGGGACGGCTCGTTAAAATTTTGAAGCAGTCCAACAGCCAGGTTTGACCATCCTCTACTCCGACGGCCGGGAAGGCAGGAGCTACATGAGCCACACGGAGCCCGACGAATGCCGTCGAAAGACACGTGGCTCTCATCGCTGAGCCAGGCAGCCGCTACGTGACTCATCTTACGTCCGAGTTCGGCCGCACCCTGCACTTGTTCAACGAGCTACGCTCCGTGAGACCACAGTGCGACGGTCACATCAATGTTCTCAGCTGCGATGGCACGGCCGTCGACACCGAAACGATAGGCGACATGTTCCGGCTATTTGAGCTGGCCATCGAGTCAACCGTACACTGGTTCATATGCCAGCTGCGCGGCAATCCCCTCCATCTGCTGCTGGGCTTGGACGGCACGACAACGGGATCAAAATTTTTCTGAACCCATCAGCAAGACCTGCGCCGGAGAGGTCTGGGAGAGGGGCGTTGTGGCATTCAATACTAGGTTGGGGCACGTGCCAAACCTGCCGGTCTGGGGCACCTGATTCAGCAGCTGAGCACCAACCAGCAGCTGCTGTACCCTCTGGCCTCCGGCGTTCAAAACGACTCTGTCCGAATCGCGGCAGCCCAGCGGCGAATCGAACCATCGAACCATGCCAGGTAAATATGAAAATGCATGATCTTCGAATTTATAGCAATCAGTGTTTAAGTTCATCAAGTATCAATTTATATTCTATGTGCTCACTGTTGAGCATTTACTCATCATCACACCTTGTTCCGTAGTATGTTGCATCATTTCCTGGTTGGTTCATGCTCACTAGCATATTTGTTGATATGTATTCCGTCACATTTAAGGACTCTGGATATCGGCATAATTACATACAGTAAATAGGCGAATAATTCTTGCATGATCTAACGCTCAGTTCGTAGCCAATTGTTCTAAAATACTCGCTTTTGTTTTCAGATGAATGACACTGGCTGCTCACCTCTAGTTCACATCTCTACCGAGACTTCCAGCAGCGCTCGCAAGAACCTCGTCCAGTGCGTGTTCGGCCACTATGTGTCGGTATGATCCGCCATCCGGCAAAACAGCGGCTGCGACTTGAGCTTACGCTGCTTGTTCCGGAGCATCGCGCTGCTTCGCGACTTGACGCAGCACACATAGGCTACGGTGCAGCCCCCCCCCCCCCCGTGAGGCACTATCTTTCCGGGGTGGGGGGGGGGGGATTGCGTGCCCCAATGATCTTGCGGGCGGTTGGGGAGGCTTGTAAAGCGCCCCTTCCGGCTAAAGAGGAGGGGCCAGACGAAACGTGCCTCCCGCAAGGGCTCTGACTCGTTCAGAGTAGGGATTAGCAACCCCTCGGCCCCAGCTTTCTGTCTTATCTTTCTGTCTTATCAGTCTTATCTGGGTCTCGCCGTACCCCGTTGGATCCGCACGTAGCGATGAAGGGATCCTGGTCACTGAGGGAGTTGCCCTGCGGGTCAGTCGGGGCAGCTTACCAACACGTGGCTTTGGCCCGAATTTGTGATACTGCGGATGCCTCGTGAAGTCTCCACACGAGGAAATCGGCTTGTCAGGCGTCGTATTTTCGTGACACCGGCTTGGAGGCAAGCAGATCATGTGACGGGTGTAGAGGGGGGAGCTGCCGGGTGCAGTGTCTGCCTCCTGACATCATCA